AGGTGAGCTTAATAATTAGCTATTCTCAGCAATAGCTCAGCTGTGGTACTACAGAGGCAATGACCTTACTTCTTTCTACCTGTATCTGTAGATACAACAAAGATACTGCTCTTCTCATTTCGTAGCAATTTGTAACTGATGCAGAACTTTGGAATGGAAGGTATAGCAGAAAAATAATCCGACATTTATATATTTATGCAATAAATTTCCAACTCTAACTCTGGATAAAACAAAAGAAGACGTATTTTCTCGACTTCAGATATGTGCTTTTTTACATGATTCGCAAATTAAATAGAAATTTAATGATAATGAACAATCAGCGCGAAATACATTTCGGCAACGTGATGATATTCTGAAAAGAGAAGAGCAGAAAATTGTGATCGAATAGCGGAGAATCGTATAATATTGTACGAAAATACTGGGCCGAATATAACTGAAAATATACGTCTTACGTGTTTTGAGATTAAATTCTTTAATCAATTACTGTCGTATAAGAATCACAACTTTTATGTTTTACTTTTTATAATAAGAATAAACTTCTTATAATGCAAAGCGACCAGAGGGCCATAAAAAAGTTTTTTTCGTTAATTATTGTAAACTTGATTTCTTAAATTTAAAAATTTTAAAATATGATAAGTTGCGTCAGTATTTGGAATATTTACATCTGTGACGTATGGGTGGGAAAATTATGGTCACGTATGGACTTTTATGAACATGATGTATACAGCCCCATATATATATATATATATATATATATATATATATATACAGGGTGTATCAGTACAGAAGTGACAAACTTTCAAGAGAGTTAGAGTACACCTAGACGATGGAAATCACATACAGATTGCATGGTCGCAAACGATTTCCTGGCGCGGTAGTCAAGACACAAAAGTCAAGAAAGAAAGGACACGAACGGGATGAGAAAACGTGCTTATTATTCGGAGTACAACAAAAACAAGAAAAGACAACATAAAGAGACAACGATCATCATCAAAGAAGATGTTCGAAATTACGACCCGAACCGTGATGCAGGAACCGTGTGTCATGCGTCTTCCATGTCTTCCATTCGCGATGCGGATCTTCCATGCGCCAGAGAAGTGAGGCCTGCATCATGGTCCTGGGTCACAATTTCGAACACCTTCTTTAATGACAATCGTTGATTGTTTTTGTTCTTATTTGTAGGTTTCTGCTGTACTAGCCATAATAAAACATGTTTTGTCTCCCTGTTTGTGTCTTTCCTTTCTTGCGTTTTGTGTCGTCACTACCGTGTCAGGAAAGCATTTCCGACTATGCATTACTATGTGATTTCCCATTGTCTAGGTGTAATCTATCTCTCCTGAAAGTTTGTCACCGCTGTACTGATACACCCTGTATATATATTTGCAACCAATGCCCAATGCTGTAATTATTTATGTTAATTAAATAAGACTGAACACAAAATTGCACATTAGCCCCGGAAATACGCAAATTCGGTGAGTCACAATGTGGTGCGCAATGGACGCATGGTCGAAATGATAATAGATGTGTCACACACGCGGTTAGTATAATAGATGTCTTGAATTCTTAGAAGGGTGATAAAATGCTTGGTTAATCACAATACATGTTTATTACTTAACGATTATGCTGTTCAAATATCATAATGAGTAGCATACCATAACGGGAGCGATATCTTCTTGTATTCCATATCAGAACTTGTATTCCAAATTAAGATTTAACTCGAAATTAATGTACATAATTACTGAGAGAATTAGATTTTTGTAGCGTAGTTTACGTGAGATCAGATCACTTGGGATCACATGATATGAACCGGCGAATCAGGATGTTGAACCATGATAGCATAGTAAATTCTTAAATTAATGTCTTTTTACAAATTTAGTGTCTTTATTTATTGGATTTTTACAAAATTTTAAACCATATTAAAATGTTTATGCCTTCAAAATAAAAATTCTTAGATCTAACATTTTTTATGTGTATACTGTATGTTGTCGCCAACAAAGTCTGCTTGGCGAGATTTGCGGCGGCGAAACGAAAAAGTATCATATTCTGTAACCAATCAGGGAGCTGATTACATGACGTATATAATTAAAATTATTTAAATAATCATACATAATAAGATCATTTAAAAAAATGCAAAATTAAATTGTATTTTAATATTTAACAGCCATAAATAATATTTAAAACATTTGATTAAGATTATATATATTAAAACCAATTACTTTTAAAGTAATGTGACGTCATTCATTACATCATTCACAACATAAAATATCATAAACAATAAAATTTTTATTTCAAATAAAAATGCAAAATTAAATTGATTTTTAATATTTAGAAGCCACAGTTCTGTTAATTATTTATATATTTAGTAATTTTGGTAATTACTGGTAGTTCGGTCCGAGGTTTCGAATCCCGCGAATGGGCTGGCTGCATGGGTGTTTTCTTGGTTTTCATCATGTGTTACGTGTATACCAGCCAGTTTCCCTTAAAACGTCCTCCTTGAAGGCATCCCTCCCTTAAGGCAGATAGTCCTCGAGTGCTTTGCCGTAATTTAATAATCCAAAACCTTTATAGAAAATTATGTTTGAACAACCAACAAGATGAAATTATGCTTTAGCGATAACTCGGTAGCGAAATAGCGATGTAGGAATCCATTCAGTTATGTTTAGCTTTTTCTTATATAAATTATAATATTGATTTGAAATTGTTATTTACTCTTTCTTATGCTTCCATTCAGTTATGTTTAGCCTTTTTAATATAAATTATAATAATAAAAATGTATTATATGAAATTCATCTTTCATATAAATTAAAACAGTAATCTTTAAATAGTTATTTCCTATTATACTTCTTTTCTTGCGTTAAGGTTGCCGCAATTATTTTTGGCACACTGGCATCAACAATAGTTTGGCGAATTTTTACGGTTCTCAAAACGGAATTGTACCGCGTATCCTTGAAGCTGGCATGTGTGTGATTAAAATTTATGAATTTAAAGGTTTATTATTAATTCGTTCCAATTAAGTTTAAAAAAATAATTTCATATTTATATTTTATATAAATTTTTTAAATGAGATGCGCTATTTTTATTATGCCAGTAAAATGATAACCTATTTAAAAATGTTTTTGAAGTCATGTGTAAAACTAACCAGATTTGGAAATGCGTTATTTTAGGAAACCTCAGGACATTTTTAAAGAAATTTATAGAATTATTAATAGAATTTTTAAAGATATAAAAGAGAGTTAATACAAAGTAATTCAAAGTTAAAACCATATTATTTTTAGGACTAAATTTCCATTATTAATGCTTCCAAATTTTTTACTTTAATGTTTCGTGGAAATTTACAGTGTGCAAAAGTTTAAAACCATACATGAAAAAATCAGATTTATTGGAATTCCGCAACAAAAACATACGTTAAAAATGAAAAAAGTAGACTTACAAGGTTACTGAAGTATAACCAGTATTTTTGTCGGAGTTCCTTAATTTTTCTATCACTGCTATAATCCTTTTAGGCATGCTATGAACAAGAGACTGGCAGTAAGCTTGAGAAATCTCTGTACACCACACATGGTTTATTGCTTCAACAAGTTCTGTAGCACTGGATGGTAGCTTCTCTGCGACTTTATTTTTCACAATACACCACAGATTCTCTACGGGATTTAAATCTCGGCTGTTACCTGGCCAATCAAGCACTCTTGGATTTGAGTAGCACTCAGATAGTCCTTAACATTCCTTGCCCTGTGACACGGAGCCTCATCATGCATGAAAATTGAACATCCGTGAACATCCTAAGTGAAGCTTCAACTTGTCACGTACAAATTCAGGTACCGATTGCCGTTTATCGTGGTTTTAGGTGGTAGGAAATATACAGCAGCAGCACCAGACACAGACCATCGCACCTCATATCATCTGGCTTGGAGGGTGTTTCACTGTCGGAATCGTATATCTATAATCATATCGTTTTCCTAATGGGCGGCGAATACATTTAGCACGTGCAGAAAATTGCTGTACATTGACAAATCGGAAAATAGCACTGTACTCCACTGTTTGTTTGGTCCAATTCTGATATTGTCTGGCTACAGTCAGTCGTTTTTTTTTCGTACTTTGAACAAGTCGAGGTTTCCTTGTAGGTTTATAGAAAAATGAACCATAATCTTTGGTCAAACGTCTTGAAATAGTACTCGAACTAACGTTGGTACCCTTAGTAGCAAGAGCAGCTCTAATTTTATCGCAGGAGGTTGTCGGACATCGAGTGATCATCCTTCTTATCACACGATCATCACGTGCACAAGCTTTTCTTGGGCTACCGCTTCTCTTAAGATCCGTATAATTTCCCGAAATTTTGAATTTACTGATAGATTGATGCACGTCTGTTTTGCTGACATTTACCTTCAAACTTATTTCACGTTCAAAAAAGCCAACGCCGTGCAGGGCCAAAATTTTTGCCCATTTTTCAACAACAAGTTTTCACCAGCGGCCGAGCGGTAAAGTCGCTGAACACTGGTAGTTCGGTCCGAGCTTCGAATCCCGCGAACGGGCCTGGCTGCATGGGCGTTTTCGTGGTTTTCAACATGTGTAACGTGTATACGAACCAGTTTTTCTTAGAAAGTCCTCCACGAAGGCATCCCTCCCCTTAGGCAGATAGCCCTAGTGTGCTTTGCCATAATTAAATAAACAAACAAACAAACAACAGCAAGTGAAAGTTTTTTACCCATTACAAGAATTATACAACAGCACTGTGTACTCAAAATCCAATAACAAACTACTGATAAATGAGACCACGTTATATTTATAGCAGTAGAAAGACTTTGATGCAATCAACCCATGGGAAACGAAATCATGAGAGAAAATGGTGCAATCTATTAAAATATAGGAAAACGGCTACTGGTCTTAAACTTTTGCACATGACTGTAAATAACATTGGCTTAATTTGACCAGAATGTATTTTTCATAGACGTACTATATTTTAGCAAAAACTTAAAATTGTTAACTTAAGATCATTTTTTTACCTTGCGTCCGTCTTCTCGGTCAAATTTATAACCTCTTTCAGGAATTCTAAATTATTAATAATAAAGGGTTCATTTTCATCGACTTGAATCGGGTTGAGTATCGAATTGATCCAAGAAGGCCAGCTGACCTATCAAAAAACAGAAAAAAGCATTTTAAAATTTTATTTAGATAGAGTATTTACCACATATCCTGTAAAACCTAATCAGGAAAATGTATATATTAGGTTGGCTTTAGAGTAGTGCAAAATTATATAATAATTGCGTATTTAATAGAAAAAATGTGTCAATTTATTTAAAATTTCTATGAAAGGATTTTAATAATTCGTATTTTATAGATATCAGTAGCCACAAATAACTGGCGGTGTTTCGTATTAATTCTAAGAAATATTTTTTCCTAAGCATCAGAATCTAATTTAATGCAGCAAAAGATAATTTATAGATTTTTCAAGGGCATGTTTTGGAAGAAATACGCTGTTTGAAACGAGGAACATTTTGTCGCAGCATTCTGCAAGTAAATTATACTTATATCGACAATACATCCAAATTATTGCATTTTCCAATAAACCACCTAATCCTTGAAGGAAAAAAATGTTGGTTATTGGAGCTGGTAATGGAATAAGACAAAGTTCACAAGTGGTAATGTAATCTAATATAAGAGTGTGCTGCAACCTTCCTGGCCGATAATAATCGAACTCGTGGTTAACGCACAACACCCAACACAAATTTAAACAAAAATACAGTTAAAAGCCCAGTAAAACCAAAATTACCAGTATTGGTTCTATTGCCATTTATAAAGTTCATCAAACCCTTTGCAAATACGAATTCTTTCCTGCGGCAATAGAATTCCTTTACGTTACTATGTTTTCCCCTAACATGTCGCAATAATACTCAGTCTTCGAAGAAATATGCCTTGCCTTCAGCACGACAAAAACCATTATTTTGCAAATTAAATCTTTTCAGGTACGGAGCCCACCAGCGGCCGAGCGGTAACGTCGCTGAAACACTGGTAGTTCGGTCCGACGTTCGAATCCCGCGAACGGGCTGGCTGCATGGGTGTTTTCGTGGTTTTCCCCATGTGTAACGTGTATACGAGCCAGTTCCCTTAGAAAGTCCTCCACGAAGGCAGCCCTCCCCTTAGGCAGATAGCCCTCGAGTGCTTTGCCGTAATCTAATAAACCAAAACCAAAACCTTTTCGCGTACGCTGAGAAGCGCCCATGTAACGAAAATAGGAGATAATTGTTTAGTTTCGATGAGATTAATGTTTTTTCCTTGAAACTGGTTTTGTATGGCGTTGGACACTGAATATATATATATATATATATATTTTAAATTTTATTAATTGCGTCACCATAGGGTTGTCAACTTTAAGGGCAGGAAAGAGTAGTCGTTATCTTGTAGACTTCTTGTCAAATTTAAAGGGTACACTAATAAGTTGCTAAAGTAATTGTCATTTGCCCAGAACAACTTGCCAACAAGTTTCAACGGCTGGCATGGGTGAAAAGAATAGACGTAAACTTTGCTATGGTTCATTAGTTTTGAGTTCTTTTTATTTATTTATTTTTCTTTTTTTTTGTGTGTGTAGGCTCGGATGTTATCAAAATTTTATATTCCGGCATTTTACATTTTTACGTTGCACTTTCATTAAAAATTGGTGCATTTAAAAATATTATTGATTTTTAAAATGTATTAAATAATTTTAGAATATTTTCCCAATACATTTATTTTATACGATTTCTCTCTTAATACAAAACGTAGCTTTACATCAATTAACAATTTTTGGTTTTACAAATGGCAAACATTAGCGCTTAAGCTATTAGTTCACAGGCTCTCTAGTGCTTTTTAACAATGTCCTCATACTGAGAAAGTGTAGTACAATTATTTAAATTTTCAAAAGTCATAGAAATTTTCAAAATTTAAATTTTCAAAGACTTAAATTTTCTTGTAGATTTCTTGTCAAATTTAAAGGGTACACTAATTTACACTAATAATTTAAAGTACACGAGTAATTTAAGGGGTCTTGTCAAAGAATTAAAATTTTCATTTTATTAAGTCATAGAAATCCACCACTAGAGGTGGTCTCGCAAAAAGACATGCCCAGTCAGACGTCTAATTACGGCTGTCTTTCTTGGATGACTGAGAATGAAAATTGCCTCTTTCCTCAGAATCCTCCAACTCTTATCCATAGCCCGCTAAATCATATCCTGTTTAAGAATTGTTTTAAGACTCAGGTTAACAAACAATTTAGTCATATTGAAAAGAAAGCGGTCGATTAATGCTTTGCATTATCAAAATTTCTTTCTTAGCCAATGTATCAGCTTTTTCTTCACCCATAATTCCACAGTGGGCTGGAATCCATTGGAAAGGGAGTATGAATCGACAGTTGTCGAATAGCCACAGCAATGGCTTTGATTTCACTATCAAAGGCAGTAATTAGTAAGTGGACCCATTGGTAAGTAAAAATTAATAAGCTCGCTATGGATACCTGCTTCAGGACCGCGCGCTCTCTCTAACATAGAGCCGTCAGTGTAGACACGCAAACACTCATTTTGAGAACAGTGAACCTCATTAGTTTTCATTGCAATAGAGCTTAATTGTGAATCGCTCATTTAGTTTTTAAATATTCATTGTGTAAAATAAAGATTCATATTTCAATTAAAAAAATACAAGGGAAAACCGAGAGGAGATAAAATTAGATAATCTCGGCTCAACTCCAAAGCATCAGATTCTCTCTTAGCAGCCTGGGAAAAGCCAATTTGAGTTTTAAGATTTATAGAAATTTCATTTTTATAGTTCCTCCGAAAAGGGTAATCGGGCCAACGCACCACATTCTGGTATAACAGGGTCGCTTTTCTGTTAATACGATCATGATTAGGTTCCAAACCGGTTAAAAGCTGCATTTCAAGAATAAGAGCAGATCTCACTGTTCCAGTAATTATGTATAACGTTTTGTATATGAATAAAAAATAAATCATCAAATTTATTAATAACTATTTCGCAGCCAATAAGATCGTGATTATGCCTATCATTTTCTGGGGCAAATTCGGTTGCTGACGTCTTGATCATAACTGAGCCCCTTTAAAATTTCATCGACCACCCGGGAGTCAGTATCGATTCCCTGCTCTAAATGAAACACCCAAATGCATCATAGATCTACATATTCAAATAATCATTTAGTAAAGCCCACCAGCGGCCGAGCGGTAAAGTCGCTGAACACTGGTAGTTCGGTCCGAGGTTCGAATCCCGCGAACGGGCTGGCTGCATGGGTGTTTTCGTGGTTTTCCCCATGTGTAACGTGTATACGAGCCAGTTCCCTTAGAAAGTCCTCCACGAAGGCATCCCTCCCCTTAGGCAGATAGCCCTCGAGGCTTTGCCATAAATCCCACATATACGAGTATTTAGTAAAATTTCCTACAAGAATAACCTGGAAAGTTTCGAGGTACTGGAAATCAGCTAGATGCTCCAGTATCGATGCAGAAAATTTCTCGTGAGTTAACTGCGAATGTTTTGCAATCAGATCGTTTTAATAAAATCATTGTTATGAATGTTTCTGTGTAACGTAGCTTTTTCATACTACTGGAATACTGTTGTCTCACTTTAAATTTCATCATTTATAGTTCAAACGGCAGCTAGTAGTAACCAATGTTCATTCAGATGTGAATTATGGAACTCCGCTATATAGTAAAAAAAATCACTGCGAAAAGTGCACGTAAATAAAGGACATTTAGGCTGTTTGACAGCTTATCTATTTGGATCGTCAAACATTTCATCAAAACAGGATAATTTTAAAGGTCCCAATGACAAAGCAGTTAAATATCTATAGCATAAACAATTTAGAATTAAACAGACGAAATCAAATAACTACATAGAAATTTGACGAAGAATGTCTAGAGTTAAAATTGCTTAATAATATTAGCAGTATGAGTAATACTACAAATAATAAAAATAACAGAGCTTAAATTGCGCCGGAGCCCACCGGAGCGCGGCTCCGATACTTCTTAGTTTTGGGGATAAATTATAATTCTAGCCGGAGCTCTAAATAAGAAGGCTCCGTCGCTTCTTTTATATAACTAAACCACTTTAGTAGAAATTTCATTTTTTGCAAAAAATTATATTACAAATCGCTTATTAAATTTAATTTATCTCTACATTTTATTTAATTTTAATTACTTAACTGTTTTAATAATAATAATTAATTGAATTTTAATTTATCTCTACATTTTATTTAATTTTAATAATTTAAATGTTTTAATAATAACAATTAATTATTTTTCAATTAAATTAATAACAAATCGACAAATGTTAATTATTAATATTAATTAAATATTAATTAATTATTTTGATAATAATTAACTATTAAATTTTAAAATTATTAATGATTTTAATAATCCTTCTATTTATTTATTTATTTTTGTTCCTCTTTGCTGACGGTTTTCCATAGGGCTCCGGCACTTCTAATTTTAGAAATTAAGCCCTGAAAAATAAATATAAATATGAGGATGCTGCCATGAAGTTATTGAGGTTAGTGACACCCTGTATTTAAGGCATCGCGTTATTTTTCGACATCACATACACTGCGTCAAATTCTTTTTTATTTAAGTGCACTTCAAATTTTATGCATAATACCAATACTGTGTAGTAATTTATCAATCCACTGTACAGAAATGGCAACTTAGAATCAGAGTTTGGGCTGCAGTTTGGGCTGCATTATCATCAACAATCAATAAAAAATAGTACCACAACGTAACGACGATATACTGATGAGCTGCATCAGAGTCCTGCACTATTATATAGTAGTACATCAAGGATATCAAAAGTTATTTTCCAGCAGGACAATGCATTGTTATTCAAAATAATTTCAGAAAGTTTCTATATAAAAAATTAAAATGCCTGCTTTGCCATCGTAGTCTGTAGATCTATCTACAGCTAAAAATCCATTAGACATGATTTTTTACTGTGGCATTTGGCTATGACAGAACTCGTCAACCTATTTATATAACTCCGCGGTTAAATTCAGTGACCTCAGAGTTATCTAAATGGGTTGGCGAGTTACCATTCTTTATAATAATTTAATTAGCAATACAACACAAATCTAAATTTTAAAAACAAACAATTATTTATTGTCCAATC